TTTACATGTGGTGATCCATCATTAACCAGGTGATCAAAAGTACTGTGATATAAATAAAGTAAAAGCTAATTTTTAATACTAAATCTAAAACAAAAAAAAAATAAATAAATAAGTAAAAATAAAATAAAAATAAACAGAATAATAACCGGTGTGCACATTCGACATCTGCAATGGCACTCATCAACTGTACTGAAGATCGCGTCTCTCCTGGTTCACCAATTAACTGTGCTCTGCTTTGTTGTATGAGAGCGACATTATGTACAATAAGTTTGTTTGTTGGCGCAAGTCTTAGGGCCTATATAAATTCATCATATGCGTACTTAGTTTTACAAATCGTCTTAAGCAGGATTAGAATAATTATTTGGTGAATACCTTTTCGGTCCAAACTAAGGCTTCATCCATTTTCTGTAAATTCTTTGTTTCTTTAGCCAAAAGATAACAAGAACGACCAATCCATTCTAACACAGACACATCCTTATTTTGTGATTTTTTAGAAACTCCTTCGTACTATAAAATCGACTACTTTTATCAATTTTCTTAAACTACATATCTTATGATTGATAAAAGTAATAAATGTCCAAAATTACCGCAAGAATAGCTGCATTATGCTCATTCATTTGACTGCACACATGAGCATAATTAATAATAATTTCAGGTACAGGATTACGTTCTTTTAACTAAAAAAATACGTATTAAAGTTAAATATTTGTCTTTTCTCAGGTCACAAATGTAGCAATAAATAAATTGGTGAATATTTACTTTCCAAAATATCTCTTTTTTTCTTTAACCGACTAGCATAAAATTTTTAGATCTTGGCAATTTTAGCTGCAAATACTGCTCTCGAAGAAACTGATCCAGCAAAAAAAATGAGTGCTTTCGAAGAATTTAATACAATAACAAGAGCTTTTTCAGATAACACATACGATAATCCCGAAATATTTATAGTCAGGGCACATGCAATTGAAGGAAAAAATGCTTATAAAAGCCTACAAGGTTAGTATACTAATTGTTGCAATGCCCTAATGTATTTTTTAGTATTGCAATGTATTCAAATTTTATTTATTTTTATAAGCATGTAAGCGTGCTGAAGCCATGTATATACAATCCAAAGAACCAATTCCGGTTGAACTTTTTAATAAAAAAGGCAACATGCTTTATAAACTTGGTAAGTAGATTATATATTTATTTTGGAATTTTTTATTAATCGCGCTCTTAAAAATTTGATATCATTTGATTTTTCAGGGCAGTATGCAGAAGCGTCTGAGTGTTATAGACAAGCCTTGAAAAATTGCGAGGAACTT